CATACTCTTCACGCGTCTCGTACCGCCTTCGAAGAATGACAGCTGCCAACAGCTTTGGCGCTATTGGGATCAGGTTTATTCCTCTATGATTGGAGTAGTCGTTGCAAGGTATCTTTTTAAAGATGGAAACGATAATCGGTTCCTCCCCGAGGAGGGGACCTGCTCAGTATGCCAAACTTTAGAGAGTGGAATTCGCAGTTCTCTAACAAGCTTCATTCTACCATCTTTGAAGAAAACTGGGGAAGACCAATGGAGTCCGGCGCTTTGTGACGTCCCAAGACTCGGATCTCATTACGGATTTCCGCCGCAGAAGGTGAGTCTGTAGAGACAGACCATGGAACGTGTGGTGGAATACGTGTATGGGGAGGTGACGCTGTTTGTTAACCAAACTCTGCTTTGAATTACTCCACCCAGTGTGTCAGATGTCGCTGTTGATTATGAATGGGTTATTCGTCAGCTTTCCAGATCGTTTCACTTACACGCAAAGCTTTCTTACCGGTGACTGGAATGAGATGTAATAGCTTACGGGACCTTCTCGTGGCAGCAGCACGTTCCATCTCCGACGCGCGTTAAGATCATCAAATGTCGCGCTTTTTGTGTAGGCTTACATTTAGTTCACGTCTCGTTATAAGTCATGCTACGTTGTCCTTGCTGCCGGTCGGGATTAACCGACATGCGTCAAGAAGACGCAGAGACTCAGCGGAAATCCATGAAGTCACGGCACGACGTGTCAGACCACCACTAACTAAGCCAGCAGAATGCATGGCATTTTTGATGGGCGTTTAGTGCTGACTGATGTTATCAGGTTGGTTCTGACTTGTCAGCTAGCGCTTTCTGAAAGACAATTAAGCGTGCTCGTTGAGACATATTAACGTAGTCTGAGTCATCGCTGTTTTGTGCGTTTGGAACGTCCACCGAAGCACACGCACAGCTTTGTGCGAACTATGGAGTGATCAGATTCGAGGGTGGTGCGCCAGCACGATAGGCACTCTTATATGCAACCCCGCCATTTGCGGCTTACAGTGACCTGGTCGATCCTCGTTTATTGCTGACTCGAGGAGGGTGGACGCCATGTGGCGTAACGGCAGTTCAATCGCCTGAAGTTCTTACTGGCTAGGAATAGGCGGTGGTCGGAATATAGAGCCAACAGCCGTTCCCTGTTTTCCGAGAGACATGGATCCAGTTCGGAAGGAACTCCTAGATACGTCGGCTACTCTAGCATTCAGGTCTTCTACTAAAACCACAATATCAGACCAATTCGTTTTACGCAGAAGGTCTTGTAGCTTTTCGTAAAATTCACCTTTGGCTGCATCTGGGATGCAGTTAGGGTCTCGAGGGCTCGAGGTAAGCATGCCTGTTGTCCAATATACATCAGAGTACGAACGTTGAATATGACTGGTTTGAACGAGCATTGAAGTCAAAGAAGATCTTCAACTGGTGGAGGAGGAGGATTCGGTGAAAAATGAACGTTATTCAGGGCAGGGCGTGAGAAAAAAGAGGCAGAATTTCTATCTGACGCACAACTGTTAGTATGATCGCTTGTAGGTCATGAAGGTATTGGAAACGTTTGAGGGGGTGAATGTGAGGAGGAGGAAAAATTTGGAAACGGGAAGATATACATAATGTATAACAATTTTCTCTGAGTGAGAGAGAGAGGAATGCTGTAAGAGTGAAATCTCACATAATAGGATATGTTTTCTCTGTGCTGTTCACGCAGTTTCACGGGCTTTCATTTTCGCGATTGGTTCGACTTTCATCCCATGAGACTTCAGTAATTGCGCGTCTTTGCGCGTGATTCAGTTGTGCAGCTTGAGAGGAACACGGAAGAGATGAACACATATCCCAACTATGACGATACACAGATTCAGTTCCTTGCATGGCTCATGACAAATTTCACTCATGAAATGGTATACAAGTAACGGTGAACGATGACTAAATGCAGCATTTAGTCTTCGGTAGTCCTATTCGTTCAACGTGGTTTTCAATGAAAAAGAAGCAAACTTACCATACCACTAACAATTGTAGTGAATAAACTTGCTTTGATTTTCGGAGGCGCGTTTTCACTCTTCTAAATCGTCCGCATATACCGTTCCATCTTGAATGGTGGTAAAAATGACTCATTGTGGTATTCTGTGTTGTGTTTGTTATAAATAGGTCAAAACCATCTTCTGGCCGTCTGCCTATAATACACCCTCTCCAAAATTTTCTAACATTTCAAAAAAAAGGAGTGGATCTACCAATTTCTTGTCATTCTGATTGTGTCTGTTCACAATTTTTTTCTCAATTCTATATGATACGACAGAATAATAAAACTGAAACTAAATCAGATTAAAAGGACAATCAAACACTGTGTATGTGCTTGCGTGCCAACTCAAATGAGCCAAACGGGAGAAATCCAAACAGGTCAATGAAGCCACCGATGTGAATGAGGATTTGAAGCTGTAAATTGATCAAACTGTAGGACCTGACGGAGAGGAAGGAAAAACAGAACATTTTTGTTTTTAACGTTAATTAAACGAGTCGTTATTTAACAGGTGCAGCATGTACTTTTGATCATCAGACTACATTTGAGCAAGCAATCAAAACTGCAAAATATTGGCCTTTCGGACAAGCATGATGCGAACGCCACAACAACAATAGCAATAACAATAACTGGAGGGGGTGGTTTGGGATACAAAACATAGCAAAAAAGACGGAAGTATTAAAATAAATGGGATTACGATTTTTAGTATGTTTCACCGTACACGTTTTGAAATTTTGTGTGTGTTATCTTAATTATGGGGCACGGGACTTCGACATGCAAACCGTACAGCATTCGCGCCACTGACTTCTATTCCGTCATATCTCTTAGCATCTCTAACTAATTACAATCCTCATCCCTTGGGCCCCAACTTGGAACGTGAGCTGCACCAACCGAAGCCAAAGGTGAGGCCAGCTTCTTCATACCTCTACGCCATGTCATGGTCTAACCGCCGTGGCACTTCTTCCAGCCTTGCCCGGCACGAAGGAAGAGAGCACGGTAAGGTAGTGGATGGGCAGGCATACGTATTACGTCACCAAGACATCGGAGGTGGTGTAGAACGATTATTTCTATTAGAGAACGACTATGCTCACCCAACACACGACCACGGACCTCGGCATTGCTCACTCGATGTTCCCACCAGGCACGAGCAATGCTTCGGAGACATCGGTGGTCGAATACAGAAAGTCGATTAGCATCCTCAACGCGGAGAAGCAAGATCTCTCAATCGTAAAGCAAAAAGCTACAACAGTGTTCTACACCACAGAAAATAGTGTGAGCAAAATAACACCATGATAAATGGGTTTGGGTGTACGAGGGAAGGAGTGGAATGATAAAATTGTAGTGAAGGGAGACCAGTGCTTTAATCATCCATCATCTGTGCCATGTAAGCCAAAAACGTGCTAGACAGGGAACTGTAGTACGAGTGTACAAAAGTTTGCATTGGCTCCGAGTCAATGTTTTGGGGTTGGGGAAAGAAAAACGGTTCAAACAGACGATGGCACCTATCATGGGTGGGATAAATAAAGACAATTGTTTAAACAGTGAATGTTTCGATTACCTCATTCGGTTTTTTTTCGTAGACAGCAAGCACTGTTGATGATGACAACTGCTGACTGCAAAATTGCCCAGAGATGAATAAGATACGTCCGATTACCTGGAGAATATTTGTTCAATACAATATCAGCGAATGACCATTTTCGGTCACTCGTATTCAGCATTTTCACCCATTTTGAAAAAACCCAGCTCTAGGCTGACAGTTTTTGGGTTGCTGTTCAATAATAGAGACAGAATACGCCACTTGTGAATTTGATCTGCGTCAAAAGACCAGTGACTTTATAGTTGGCACATTTGAAGATGAATTATCATGCATAGATTGTGGGGTTTTGTACATGGAGTGTAAATTGAAATTGGGAGAGAAGGACCTCTTGGAGAACAGTAGACTATGAGAAAGGAATAACCAATAGGAAGTGTGAACTGTCTTCGATTAGCAAACAGGGTCACGTGGGAGGGGAGTTTTCACCGGTACGGTGGGCCGATTAGTACATTACTGTAAATAAAACTAAACACATTCATCCATAGTTCCGAAAGTAGACATGAACGTCCAGGCGTCTTTCGCTGGTCCATACAATGAGCAATAGCTTGCACTAGACAAGCAGTAGCGCCGACGGTTGAACGCTGCGTACGGTATACGAACTGTTTGGAGTGGGTGGTGTTCGTCGAGTACAACAGAGCGCCGCTAACATTGCATTCTGCGGTAGTATTGATATTGAGTGAATGGGGTCAAATTTTCCCTTCCACTTCTTTTAGGTGAGGGTGGTGTGTATATCATGACGTGACTGAGTTATTTTACGCTCGAAGAAACAATAAGATATGGAGACAGGAGCGCTTCGCACATGATCTCCAATGTTTCTACTGGAATGGACAACTTTTAACTCACGAATACTCTCCTCGTGCATGATACGGATAGAATGACGTGGGTGAATGTGAGCGTTATCATCATGAAAGAAATCAATGAGCAATTCCAGTGTGTATGATTGATAAACTCGTCTTGGTCTTGATATTTACAGAGGAGCGTAAGGTGGTGGTGGTGGGAATAGTCACAAAATTGTTCTATTTCTTTTGTGAGTTCTCAGTATGATTTATTTTGAACTACGGTCTGGATGTACAGTTGATTTGTTTCGTTGCTTCATTCCACCAGCATACTGACTCAAATTCTTTATTATTTCGTAGTTTTCCGGTTTTTGTGTGTGTGTTGGGGGGGGGAGGGGAGACGGTTGTTTTGTGTATCTATTTAATCTGCTCGTTGTTGGTTTATTTCCACCGTTTTCGGAATTCATTCATTACCCGATCCTTTGGCCGAATTAATAACGTGAAAGTCGATCACCTGACTCACCAATGAACTAACGGAACACCAAATCAATGCGTCCTTCGCATAAATTTATCCCGCCTCTGAAAAAGCATTTCATTTCTCATTCAGCTGGCTCAGAGGAGTTGACGGACGTGGTTGAAGTGGATCCCCCGATCATCTATCCGCATGGAATCTCGCTGAAATGGAGCATAAACAGACCACCTCCGGTGAAGTGGATAACTGTTGCGTCACTGGACAATGAAGATCGATTACGAATTTATCATCTTCCACCCGATGCACGTTCGTTCAAAATACCATTTGTCAGACCTTGCCAAACCTACAGTGTGTGGATAACAACAATGTTAGGAGGCAAGGTGCATTATTCGAGAACACTGAACGTTAGCGGATCCAAGGAAGGTATGAACCACTATAATTGTGAATTGTAAAAGCGAATTTTCGTTCGCCCTCTGACATACATCACTTTCGTTACTGTTATAAGTGTACACTCCTGGTTAGGTGAAACACAAGCCACCGAACTGGATCAGGCTGACTGTAGTTGTGTAAACACGATTAACTGGGTCAATGGGTGAAATACAGATCAATAATCATTTCGCCTGTCGATATTCGTAACGTCGATAGCGAGACCGACCGATCACGTGACACTCGATGCCAGCGCATTGCGGTGTGATTTGAGCTTTCATCACAGTTACTCCCTAAAAATGGAATGTACGCCAAAACAATTAGGGTATTACCATTGCTTGATAGGACACAGTGATTCAGTTATATGTTGGGTATAGCGAGTATTAAGTTTTATTTGCCTGTACTAATACACACTGATGTTTGAAGATACCTTTATCCCATGTGTGGCTACGTGCCTGTTTTATTACCAATGAAATGTTCTAAAAGCAACATTTCATAATCCTTTTACTGATTGGATGATTATTTTTTTAGACAGAGGTGTCTAGCAATCCACTATGTTTGGTTTCATCCTTGAGCTCCGGTAATGTGAACTACGACAAACAGCAAACTTCGAATTTTGCGATGACGGGCTCCATTGAGTACTGAATCCAGTCGGGGTAACAGAACACAAAGTTTGCCTCAAGCCGTCCACTTTGTCAGACCAAGTGATAGATATATCCGAGCCCATACAAAATAGTTGGAAGTTTACGAATAAATAGCTAAATATGGTGACGTAAACGTAGTGTTTCAGGAAGATACGGATGCTATCGAATTCCATCACTGCCTACTTAAATGGCGCCTTAGTAGCAAAGTCGTTCTGTGTCTTTTTGCAACAATTGAGGATGTTCATTCATGCGTCCGTTTTGGTTGCTGCCTTTCGGGTGCTCATTTGGATAAACGAGCAGTAGGAAGATTGGAATGTTGACAGAGAGAGCAGAATCAAGGAGAAGCTAGAGAATTCCCATAGACTGTTTCCAAGGATTACAAGTAGATGCACGAGCGCCACTGTTTACGATATTCAGTCATATCAGTAAGTATATGTTTCCACCAGTATCCATGATTCCAAGGTCGTTATACCCGGAACCTAACGTGAGGCAGTCTCATACATCCATGCTAAGTCTCAACTTACCCGCCCTTTCTTTTTATCCCCCATCACTTGCCTCGATAAACAGCATGTACCGCGGCAATCTATTTTGTGATATACGTTACACACACACACACCATAAAAACGCAGTCTATGGAGGTCAACCATTTGTTACAATGGGGGACCAAGAGTAGTTAAAACTCTTGCCTAAAATCAACATTGCTTGCCCACTGTCCCCACCAGACTCGTGCACTGTGACCATTTGCCAAGGAAGACCGCCAGCAGTGCGATTGATGTACTTATTCGTTGTCATTAGTGTTTTGCACATTCGGTCCGGCAATTGGAGTGTCGGAATTAAGCCTGATCTGGTATATAGGATTAGATTCACTAAGGGAACATCAAAATATTTGACTGTGAATAAGTTTACAGAATTTTGATTTCTTCTTTTCAGCAGCAAAACCATTGTGGTGTGCGTATAATATTATTTTTGCATGTATTCTTAGTGGGCCAAAAACAGCTGTATGCATCTCCATACCTAGGAAACGTTCTTATTCATGACGTGCACCCTCCGATGATACCGTCAGAACTTCGAAACCCACCGAACAACGGAATGGTCACAAAAGTTTCAAAGTTATGATCATGAACGAGCCCTTTCTCCCCTCCAACGAAT